AATTTCAAACATTTATTGTATTACCTTAGTAAGAAAATATTTTAAATAGCATTTTAAATTTTCTCAAATTACTCTGCGTTCTGTTTTTCGATTGAAAAGTGAGATTTTGGTGTAACCTTTGGCTCTAGAATAAGATGCTAAAAGGAAAATATAAAATAGCAAAACACTGTGGAAGTTTAACAGTAAATTTTGTTTAGAGGGCGTGCTATGTGTACCTGCTAATTGCTGAAATGCAAGATAACTTCATCTGTTACCTCTAAAAGATAACTACGTTTCATGGAAGTAACTGACTACATAATTTGTGGGCCATGGCTTCTATTTGTGCAATTAACAGAAATTCTTGACCTGTAGAATCCTTATTACCAACAGTAAACCAGAAGAAAAATACAGAATGAATTTGGCTGAATTTACAGGACATAGATTTACTAGAAACAGCAGAAAGAAATATTAAACAGAGCTGACAGAAAGCAGACAATGTGAAAGGGAAGGAGAATGAAATAATTCTGAATATTTTTGGTTCTGCTCTTTGACCTCCTCTAAAAACACTATAAAATATCACCAGCAGAAAAATCACATACAGAATTTCACAGAAAGAAGAAAGCAAACCTAGGTTAAAAAAGGACACAATTGTCAGAGGGGATTCATCATGCTTTCTGCTTCTTCTTGTGGTTAAAGGCATGCACAGAGATCTTTTGCAATGTCTTTGAGAAATGGCTACTTGATACAATTTTCTGACCACTGAACTTCTTGTTCATTGGAAAAGCTCCAGCTGCAGCTTCCTGAGGGGATAGCACATGGGCAAGCTATTTTTTAAACATGGTTAGGGAAATATGCAAAATATTGTCATAAAAGCTTAGGAAATTTAACCATTTGTGTATCTAGGGAAAATCCCATCATTTGACAATGCAGCAGATCGGACTGATCCTAATGCCTGACTGCCTCATCCATGATGGGTCCTTTCCGCTCCTGCCCTCCTGTGACCCGGACCTCCCAGGGCTTCCACCCACCAAAGGGAAAGTCACCAGGTGTTCTGCGTTATTGGCCTGTCATATGACTGCATTCTTTCAAACAGAACTTACACGATAAATTGTATATGCTGCTCCTCCAACTTACATCTGTACAGACATCTTTCTTCCCGTTTGCAGCTGCTTCAGGTTCCTGTGACAGCAATAGCAATTGTTTCCACAGCAGATCAGCTTTTGGAAAGCATTCTGTGTACTTTCAGCTTTCTTGCAGTGGAGCTCAAGGGCTAGAGATAAGGAGTGGGTAACATCATTAGGTCAGCTCTATATCTACAAACTACTAGCAAGTGCTCTGTGGAGCCCCAGTGGTTCCTAAGGCTATAGTTGGTGAATTCTAGTCTATGCAAAATCTTATGGTCTGCCCACATAGGATTTTGGAACAGTTTTGGGAATAGTTGCTTGCATTCAATGGGAAGTCTAGTTTTGGTGTGAAAGGTGGTAATCCTTACTGTGATGGGCATGATTAGAAGAATCCTTGTTGAAGATTGTGCCAAAAATAAACTATTTATGTAGGAGACTGAAGAATCCTGCCAAGCCATTTATTACTGTGCTTGCATTATTTGGTGAAAGAGTATTGCTCTTCTCCATTGCCTCCCTTAAAGAAGTAGGATACGTGACAGCACTATGCTTGCACCACAGTACAGCATACTATATTTCAGGTTCCAAGTGAGATAATTATTTCCATACTATTTCTGTATCCCAAAAGGTGATGCACTGTGTCCTAGACTGGTATACACAGAATTGGAGTATTTCTTCTATAAATGAGAATGACTTGTGTTTTTCCATGTAAATGAATATTTCGCAGGACTGAATGGGGTTTGCTTTATACAAGAGAATGACAGGCATTGACTAAAGTTATTTAACATTTGTGTCCCTGGATGATATCAGAAGAATGAGTTTATTTATTATCTTGAAGGAAATATTTACGCTGCTGCTGTCCATAATGGAGATAAACCCTTGGGTTTATGGTATAATGTGGTAGTAACTTGAACCGTATTTGGAGTACTTGTACTCATATTGCTTGATACTTCATTATGCAGATAGGGTATTTACAGTTATGGCACAGGCTGAGTCATGTCACAACTAAACGCTAACCTTGGTTTATCAATCTTAGATCATGAAAGACTGTAAAGCTCCACTTCAGAAATGTTCTGGCTGCTTTCTCACCACTTCTCATAACAGGGAGGACATGTGAGCGCTATTCATCGGTCAGAATATCTTGAATTGCTATAATTATCTCATTAGATCTCATCTATAATCACAGAATCATATTCTGAGAGGCAAATATTCTTGAGAAGCACACCCATTCAGTTTTGCTCATGATGTACTGCTTTGGCACCACCCAACGTTTTTACAAATAGTTTTTCTCATGGATTTTTGTTAAGAAAAAGACCCAGCACAACAAGAGTCGGTCTATTTCTGCAGTTGCAGGCCTTTATGAACTTTGCATCTGTTTTTCTGGTCTCATCTCAGGTAATTACATTTCATACTTGAAGTGACGAAGACTGTCTGATGCCATTCATTTGTGTTTTCTCTCTCAGGCAGCTGTTCCAGGCGTTGCTTGCACACGAAATATAGTTCATATAATATATCACTTCTTACTTCCATCTTATTTTTGGAAAAAATAAATTTGTGATTGATGTGAACAGCTATTGCTTATGGGCTGCTTCCACAGCTCACCTCCCACCATCACTATATCCAAAAGGGACTGGCCTAAGAAATCAAAGTGCAAATCTCTCTTCGCAGTACCGAGATATTAGATTCAAGACCAGTCATGACATGTACAGATAAGGCAAAGAGATTAACATGGAAATTCAATATCTGATCACTATTTTTTGACTGAATGTCATTCTTCATTGACTTCAATAGTGCTACTCCTGAGATAGGTGGATGGTATATATGAAAGAAGATTAATTTGTTCATTTGTCTATTTTAGAAATTTTAACTATTGAAATGAGAAACATGAACTGTCAGAGGCACAATATCTCTCTGCCTGCTGTTACACACTAGAGTAACTTGTAACACCCCATTAGGCATGCAGCCATTTCTGCAGGGACAGGGCTCAGGGAGCTATTGTAGGCTGTCTCCTTTTTCCTGAAAGGGAAATCCCTCCAGAGCTGCCATTTGGGAACCCCTACACCTCATTATAGCCTAGCCTAAATAGTGAGCATCCAACCAAAAACAGATCATGAGATTTCTGCATAGCTCTGCTGGCAGAAATTAAAGCTGAAGACAAAACAAATGCTTCACTGGTTTTTTTTTTTCCGGTATCTGTGACTACAAACATCCAGTTATAATCACCACAGCTCTTTTATGATATGCTTTGCTTTAAAAGATAATTTCTTAAAACTAAAGCTTGATGCTCCAGTTCCTCCCAATCTGTTTCTTTTACAGTTGGATTTTTCAATTTTGTTTCTAATTTCATTTCAGCAGAGCAGTGTTTTTACAATTGTTTAGACAGTAATAACGAAAGCTCTTGACTGTATGCTAACATAGAAAGTAGCTGTCAGTCTTATGTGGCAACCTTTAGTACATGGCCTTTTTCTCTAAGGCCCAGCAAGTATCTAATTGCATAGCAAATCCTTAGCATTTCTCTTTTAGAAAGTACATACGTGTTGATTCAATAGCTTTTCCTAGCCTTTTGCCTTAAATGTTGCTTAAGAAAAAAGCTGTTGCAAATGCTAGAGAAATCATCTTTCTCATAAAGCAAAATTGAAAATTGAAAATGATTTTGTATATTTGATATGTTCCACTTAGGCATACTTGTGCAGTCGATTGAATCTGTGCAATCAAAACTTCATTATATCCATTTTATCTTTACTGATTTATTATTACATTAATTAATCTGCATTTTTATGATTGTAGGAATGTTGATGAGTGTAGAAACATTAGCCTGTAATTTCTATCAGTCTCATTAGGACTTGAAGGCATGGATTTAGAGATATATCCCTTTCTCTTTCCACTAGCCTTTATTCTTCCCTACCTCAATGCTGGAATTTATAACATCCCAGCATGACTTCTTGTGTGCATTTCAGCTCCATGTGCAGATACAGCTAGCTGGCCTGGTGGCCATTTAGTTGTATCTGGCATGCAGATGCCAACACTATGCCTCAGAGCCTTTGGTAGCATATCTGGAGTGTCTGCCTTGTACCATATTGCTGTCCCACCATGAAATGTGATCTAACATCGAAGGAGTATCCCCATCATGTTGCCTGATGCAAAGCTGCAAAGGGCGTACTTGTAACGTGCAATGTATCCAGGTTATGCATCTCTTCAGCCAAAGAAAGGCACTTCTGTCAGGCATTTATCACTTACAGAAAGTAAATGACTTCCATTATAGTTAAAATACATAGTGCATATCTTCTTGCCCATCAGCAAGACAGGTTATATCCAATGTTAGTATAAAATTGTTTATTGAAAATCTGTAGGGGAAATAGATACCATCTCTGTAAATCCAAAATGTGGCATAGTGTGTGTTTTCTGAAGCCAAGGAGGCATCCATGAAGGATACCCAAGCCGCTAGCATGTTCATGCTGTGTATGAAAGGCCAACTTTACAGTCAGAACCGTGACAAAGAAACTATTTCACTGTAAGGACAGTCAGTCAGGGTTGCCCAGCGAGGTTGTACAGTCTCCATCCTTGGAGGTTTTCAAGACCTGGCTGCATAAAGCCTTTAGCAGCTTGGTCTGAGCTGATAGCCGACCCTGTTTTGTGGAGGAGATTGGACTAGAGACCTCATGAGTTCCCTTCCAGCCTGAATTATCCTGTGATTTTTTGGAAAATTAACAAGGAGGCAGATCCTAATCCAGCTTCATGGTTTAATAAATTCACTAGTAATTTATTGATAGTGAGTTTACATTCTGAATTAGTGGGATGACACACTTGCACCAAGAAATTCTTAGTGCTAAACCGCACTGCAATACTCAGCTATCCTTTGACCCATTTCCATTTGTTTTTCTGGTTATCTACTTTCCACAGGTGTCAGCAACATTATTCCTCTGCCTGCTGAATGCACGAGCAAAGGTGAGCGTACAGTCAGAGCACAAGAGGGAAAGGATGCTTTGGTCAGGTGACTGGACTCTCCACAGAGCTGTAAGTAAAAGATGGCTTGTTTGGTTAATGATGCATGTGGCAGCCGTTTCACTGATAGAAATTCACCCCATCATTGAAGTAACCTGAACCTGGAGAACCCGTCCCCCACACTCAGCAACCTCTCAGCCCTGCTATCATGGAATGGAGAGTTATCTGCAGCAAATTGCTGTCATTAATCCCTTTCAGATATCATAGTTATTATATTTATGAGCAGTTGTTCATTTGTGCGTTGGCCTCAGCTGTACGCATGTTCTTCAGCTAACATGCCCTGGCCATGCATTGTGAGCGTGCTGTCAGGCTTGCTCACGGTCTGAGAGGGGACAGATGCATGTCTAGCCTGTGAACCTCCACATCAGAGAAGCATCCCTTTCACGTCCTGACAGCACTGTGGGCTGAGACCTGGGGTTCACCACCTCCTTTTTGTCCTGCCACCTTCTTTCCATTGGAAGTTGCAGCATGCTTGAGTGCATCCCTGATCTATGTGCTTGGGGATAAAGTGCACTTTAGGGGGCTTCTACCCACATTTCAGGTGCCAGAGGCTCAGGTAGGTGAAAAAGGGGGCTTTCCC